GATTTTCACCTGCGTTTTATTGGCTGTAAATGCACCTGAGCACAGAGCGGTGAGCAGCCCTCGCCCTCGCCCTCGCCCTCCGGGCAGCCACAGCAGCTCGGGGCTTGGCTCTGCTTCTCCGCGTCCTCTTTGTTTTGGGCCTAGAGTTTGTCCTGCCTTCTCCTGAACTCACCTGCAGTTTGAAGAGTGTCTGTCATAGTCTATGAGGCGTGTATCTCTAGGTGTTTCTAGTGAAGTAGGGAGTGAGTTCCAAAGCTTTGTTCTGTAGACTCTGCAGAAGAGGGCTGAGGCTCAAATAGACTGTTTAGAAATTCCCATATGTAGTGAGAGAGAAAAGTCTCTATATTTGTTAAACCTCCTGTGGTTAAGAAATCTTTTTTTATCTTTCACTCACCATTGTCCAAATATATTCTACCATGGAATGTTCTAAAAAACATTATTTGAGAAACATTAGTATAATAGAATCTCAACTCTGCAATGTAGTGTGTTTTACAACCTCGCCAGCTTTCATTAAGTAGAAATGGTCAGTACTTACAGGGCTGCTACAGAGACTGTCTAAAATAATGTGTGTGGCGCTCCCGTGGAGTACCAGGTGTCCAGTCCATTAATTCACAGTAGCTCCCTTCTCTGATGAATATGATGTTAGAAATACACATGACAATGGACAGGGGCTGGCAGTGTCCTCATTCATCTCTGAAGTGTGATTTTTATCAACAGGAAACTGTGGAGATATCAATTTAGTACGTCTGGGTCCAGAAAGGTCTATTAATAATGAGGTCCTAAGATTCAGTTTGGACAACCAAGTTAACCACAGAATAATGAGTAAGTACTGAATACGGTTCACACTACCGTCAGCGCTGTTTCCTTTTGTACAGTGGACAGTAGCTTGGGCATTGGAGGGAGTGGCAATAGTGTGGCTTTGACAACTAGTTTTTCTTCTCGTTACGTGTGTGTGTGTGTGTGTGTGTGTGTGAATTGGCAGACAAGTCTTTATCTTTTTCTTTTTCTTTTTTTTTAAAGAAAAAGACTTACCTTACGTTCAGGAGATGCACAGAAGAAAGGAACATCTAGACCATCAACTAGATGAACTTTCCCGCCAGCGTGCTTTAAGCCGATATGGAAGAGGAATCCAGGTAGCTAAACATCTCTTGCTGAATGGTTTTTAATATATCATAGATACACAAACTAGTTGATAAGTATCTGATGCCATTTTCCATTGTGGAATAGCATAATTTGCTGATAAAAATTTAGACAAAAGTGGTATGCCTTACAAAAAAGTTAAACTTTTTTTGGAAAGGATAAGATAGTAAACGGCCTGGGTTTTGCAGGTCTCTGTTTCAGCTACTCAGCTCTGCTGTGGTAGCACAGAAACAGCAGGAGATATACCATCCTAAACAAAGGGGTGTGACTATGTTCCAATAAAACTTTATTTACAAAAACAGATGGCGAGTTGAATTTGACCCACAGATTGTAGTTTGCTGTTGCCTGCCTTATACTAAAACTGCACTGAATTCATTAGGTATCTTTTGATTACAAGTTAAATTTAATCCAAGTTAAGTTAGACAAGTCCTGGCCGGGTAGCTGAGTTGGTTAGAGTGATGTCCAGATATGCTAAGGTTGCAGGTTCAATCCCTGGTCAGGGGACATACAAGAATTCAGCCAATGAGTGCATAAATAAGTGGAACAACAAATTGATGCTTCTCTTTCTCAAATCAGTAAATAAATTTTTTTTAAATGTAGAAAAAAGTTAAGTTAGACAAAAAACGGAATTCACTGGCACCTAGACCTGGGACATCTGGGAGTGGATTAACTTTAGCAAATGATGCCGTGTCTCCACCTTGACCTGCTGGTCTGTGAGTCAGCATTTCTTCTCCCGGAGAAGACGGAGGGCCAGCACTTCTGGGCCCCACCCCAGCTTAGAAAGCCCACTGGGAGAGAAGGCCTCCCTGCTGTCACCGAGCATCTGCTCTGACGAAGAACTTGGATTAGTCCCTGGGTGTGAGGCAGGTCTGGTCCTTGTGTTAAGGGAAAGGGTGCCATGGTTGACCAGGCCTGTATTACATGCCTGCCGCTGTGGCCAGAGGTGATGGAGGTGTGATTGATAGTCTCACATGAACTACCCGGAAACGAGTGAAGGAATGATAACCAAGGGTTGAGATGCTCAGAAGTAGCAGAGGTGCCATGTACCAGACCCAGTGGAATCACACATAGTGTGAAAATGATCAGGTTACCTTCCTGCTCAGTGGATTCTGGGTGCTGGTGGTGAGACTGTCAGCAGCAGACCATGAGAGAAGTTTATCACTCACAGGTCCTGGAGGAAAGACACAGCACACCCTGGGGGGCCACAGGAGGTCAAGGCAGAGTGCAGACAGGGAGGCAGGACCTGGGGCACGTAGGAGCCTTTATTAGGGCCTGTGAGGTGGAGTGCTTAGCAGTTCCCAGGCTAAGGCTGGAGTGGTCAATTCAAACTTCCCAGGGGGGTGTCATGTAAAGGATGGTCAAGGCATACAGGCCCGGGGGCAGGGGAGCCTTGATCACAAGGATGTTGGAGAAATCTCCGAGGAGCTTGCAGTTGCTGTGACTGGGCTACTGCTTCGGCCGGGGCCTGTATGAAGGGCCAGTGTCAGCTGAAGGTGTGCAGGCTGCTTGGCCACACAGAAGGGGTGCGGAGGCAGCGATGCAGAGAGCATCAGGGCCGCGCTGCCAAGAGAAGAGAAACTGGGTGAACCAGCTTTCGTCAAGTGCAGGCTCGCCCTTTGGCAGTGACAGTCCCCTGGGAAGCATTGTAAATGCTGACTCAGCTTTAACGATGGCATTCTCATTTTTTCCAGAGGCAAGAATTAGATGAAAAAATTGCCCAAGTTTCAAAAGAAAGGCAGGAACTTGCGTCTAAAATTAAAGAGGTAAGTAGTTTTACTTATAGCATTTTCCTGGTTTGTCTTTTCTTTTTTTCATTATGACATAGTTGAAATAACCTCTGGGCTTTTATCAATTGCATTTAAATTTTTTTCCATTTTTGAGAATATTAAACAAATATAAAAGTGGAGATGGTGTAATTACATGTATATTTACATTTGTTTCTTTAGCCTAATAATGAGTTCTTACCACCACCTGAGATTTCTAAGAAAGAAGTGATTATAGAATATCTTTCCTTTTCTAGGTCTGGGTAAGTATTAATAAAACCTCTTGTCAGAGGCTCTACTCCACCTCCCCCCAAACTGCAGAATCAGTTGGTCACTGTAGCCAGATGCATAGTAAATAAAAATAAGTTTGTGGTGTCTTCCTATTAAGAAGAAAGAAAATCACACGTGTCTGAGCCCAGCGCAGTGACTGGCAGCTCCATGTTGCCTGTCAAATAGCACAGGATTCCCGTGGGGCCAGGGAGAGGGCGGAACATCCACCAGCGCTGCTAGCAGTGTGTCTGAGGAGACTCTCTCTTGAATGTATTACCAGCCTTCTCTGTGTGGCTAAGTAAAGGCAGTTGAATTTAATGCCTATTTCCATTAGCAGTTTGTTTTTTTTTTAATTAAAAATTAGGTGGAAGCTTTTCAGTAAGATTTTAAACCAGGCCAGACTCAACTTTCCCCAAACTGAAGGATGAAGTTCATGTTTGCAGATAGCAAGGTTTCTGCTACTCGTCACTGTTCTGTGGCTGTGGCACTTGGCTGTTTTCTCACTGATGGCTGAGAGGAGATGGGTGATGGCGCTTCAGCCCAAGAGCCCTGGGGCCCACCGTTGCCACCCCCTGCCCGAGCTCACGTGGGGCCTGGGTCACGTGGGGGTCAGCAGAAACAGGCTGACCGACTCTGATGAGAATGCTGGTTCATGCAGTGAGCGGTGTCATTCACACTGCCTGCTCTGCCACAGTCCCGTTGTGTCTTTGATCTGAAGTTTCTGCTCTTTTCCTAGGTTGGGGTTCTCTTACATTTACTAAATATTATTCTGTCACATAATGAAGATGGGTGCTTTATAGTAAAGTTGCCCTGCCGAAGCCTAGAATTCACATACAACTGAATGGTAATGAACCTTTGTTGTTGTCTCAGGTTCAAGGGCGCCCACAGAAAACCCAGAGCAACGTCATCCTAGAGTCCCACATCATCTGCTGCACCCTGAGCACGAGCGGCGGCTTACTGCTCGAGTCCGCTTTCCGGGGGCAAGGAGGAGTCCCCTTCAGCTGTGTCATCGTTGACGAGGTCAGTGAGCGGGCGGCCGTTCAGCTTGGACTAGTGCTGTGCGGACTCTTAGACGGACAAGGGCTGCGGAGATGGCGACACAGTGGACTGCGCGTCGGATTTTACCTGCCATTACGTAGCCTTTCACGTTGAAACATGCTGCCGCCGCCTCCCCATTGCTCTTCCAGCGGGGGGTGGCGGGGTGTGACTCGTAAGGGTGCCTGCCAGTTCCTCACAGAGCCCTCCCAGGGACTCTCTGAGCTGCTGGAAGAGCTCAGGCTACCTCTGGAGCATTTGAAATGTACTTTGCACAGCTCTGAGCCACTGTATTTTCCTCGTTCATTGAGCATTTGTTAGGTACCTAGTGTTTGCCAGATGTAGCGCCAGACGACAAAAGGGATGGAAATGAGATACAGGAATCGGTCCAGGAGGCCCCAGGTCCCTAGTCCCCGGTGAGAAGGTGCAGGCGGGCGCGATGACCCGTCAGCCAGCGGCAGAAGGCCGGGTCTTGCCATTGAAAGGCCTGCTGAGGGCCAGGAGGCGGCGGGGGGCCGGTCACAGACTTGCAGCCCCAGCAGGAACAAAGGACCCAAACCTGGGCCGCCCGTGGCCTGCTGGCTCGTGGCTGGCTCCCAGGTGTCTGTGGCACCTGGATGGTGGCTAACTTCAAAATACATGTGTGGTCTGTATTGAGTGTTTTTGTTTTGTTGTTTCTGGCATTTGGTGCAGAAGGAGAAAGTGTGGTTCTCCTCTGAATGGTTAATGGGGTAATTTGCAGTAACTTCCACCTTAAAAAATGTTACGGGGGAGTGGGGGGAAGGTCTTTGTTGGATCATCATCTCTTATTTGCAGAGTAAAGTGTTGGAAAGGCTGGGAAAGGAGAACTACCCTTTGAGTCTTAAAGTATCTGACAATGTCCCTTTGTTGGTAATTGTGCTTCTGTTTGTGTGTAATAGGAGCCGCATCAGAGACCAGAGACTAAAAAGAACTTCCTCCATGTGCGCTGGGCTTTTCCTTTGCAACAGGCAGAGAGCAGCTACTTTAAGGGCCGTATCTGACTTATTTTAATAATATGAACACCAAAACCAATTTTAAAAGCAAGGAAAAGAACCCCAACCTAGTGATTTATATTTAAATATGTGCAAATTTGAGGAAAATCTTACAAAGACACATTTAGAGTACATTTGCAGCTTTAGAGTTCAGTATCCTATAGTCCAAGAAAGTGCCTGTGGCCCTCACACCCCCGGGAAGGGAAGGTGACGGAAGGTCGACTGTGCTCTGTCTGCCACCAGCATCATAACCCTCCCCACCCCGCCCCACCTTGCTTCCTGCCTCACGAAAGCTGGCTCCCAGAAGGGCACACCAGGCAGGACCTAGTGACTGTTTGGGGTCATCTGAGGGGCTGGACCCCGCACATATTTCAAAGTTGTGCGGGTGCAGTGTGTGGAGGGCTGCAGCATGGAATGGAAAGGGGTGTTGACGGGCCTCAATTTGAGTGCCTGCTTTGGTGATTGATTAAGAATAAAAATGAGGAAAATCCATTTGGGCTTTTTTTAATTGCAAAAATAATACATGCTTATTGAGGAACGTTCAAAAAATAAATACGAAGTTAATTTCCTCCACCTCTTTCTACGGATAATAACTCAACAGTTAAGTGAGTATTTTAATCAGTCCACGTGGCATTTGTCTGCTCATTGATGCACCGTGTTCAGTCTTTACTTACTGAGGGCCGCCCTGCCCTCGTGGAGCTTGCATCCTAGCGGGAGAAACACAGGAAAGTTCCCGAAGGATGGTGTCAGGTGGCTGTCAGGTTTGTGTATGTCTGGACATGTGTAGGGCTTGGCCTTGTTTAAAGGTGCAGGCCAGTTTGGTTTATTGCCAATCAGTGAATAGACGATCCTTCCGTATGAGAATATGCAAATTGATGTTGTTTTGCTTTTTTTCTGGAAATAGGTGTGTTGCTTCATGTAAGTCCTTTTTTTTCCCCCAGAGAGAATATTTAAAATGAAGTTTTAGCTAATTTGAATAAATAAACTTTTGGGGATGTAAATGGAATTGCCAAATGATTACTAATATTTATTTAGTTACACAATCCTACTTAAATTCACATACGCAAATCATCTATTATTTAGAAGTAATATCTTTTTCTCCACTCTCCCAGTTTGTGAAGCAGGTGAATTCAAGCTTTGCATGTACAGCTTCAATGCCCATGTCCTCACCACCACTCAGGACGAGTTCCCCTCTTGGTGTGTTTTTCAGAGCACATTTTTGCTTCTAGATTATTTGATAAAATGCTTTTCAAATCTTGATCAGATGCTGACATTGAAAAGTATATCCCAGGTACAACCAAGATAACATGACAACAGTTTTCGTTTGTCAGTGAGGTGACTGCTTTTCAGAGTGTAGGCTGGAATCCGTTACTGGGTGGGTGAACTCACCTCAGTCAGTCAGTTCTCTGTTTCCTTCACAAGCATGTTCTGTGAGGCTGGAGCTGGACTGCTGAGGCGGCTGAGTGTGTGTGGGAGGGTGGTCAAAGCCATCAGTCTCTAAAGGGCTTGTTTACAGTGACAAGGAATATTTCTGTTTGTTGAGAGCATAACCCAGAAATGATTGTTAAAATCTGTGTTACATTTTTTTGCTTCTTTCATCACTGAGTCAGGTAACCTCTGTTAGCATCAGAATAGCTTCAGTGTGGCCATTCCCAAGATCATGTCCTTTGGTGGCAGTGTGGGGGTTTCTACATGAGAAGGTCCTCAGCTTGCCTGGCCAGCCTCCATGGCTTCTCAAGGTCAGGGTCAGAAACATCTTTCTCGCCCTGGCCGGCGTGGCTCAGTGGGTAGAGCATTGGCCCGTGGACTGAAGGGTGGCGGTTTGATTCCGGTCAAGGGCACGTACCTTGGTTGCAGGCTTAATCCCCTGCCCGGGTCAGGTCGTGTGCAGAAGGCAGCCAATCGATGCCTCTCTCTCATATCCATGTTTCCCTCTCTTTGGCTCTCTCATCCTCCCTTCCACTCTCTCTAAAAATCAGTGGAAAAAATAGCCTCGGTTGAGGATTTACAAAAAAATAAAAACACAGAAAAGTCTTTCTCTGACTGATTGTTGGTGATGGCCCGAACCTTGCCGGGTACACATTAGAGCTCAGTGACTGTTTTGACTGGGACAAGCAAAGCGGACCCTCCAGGTGACTGCTCTGTTCTCCCTTGCAGACGGCGCAGGACTACGGCTACGAGCAGTCGATGATGGCCCGCTTCTGCAAGCTGCTGGAGGAGAACGTAGAGCACCTCGTGAGCGGCAGGCTGCCGGTGCTCCAGCTGACCGTGCAGTACAGGATGCACCCCGACATCTGTCTCTTCCCCTCCAATTACATTTACAACAAGAGCCTGAAAACCAACAGGTGGGTCCCACTCCCCACCTGAGAGCTGGTTCTGTTTGTAGGATTTAGAAGAACTAGATTTCTGTGTTCTTAAGTCTTGTCATAAGAAGTATAAATCAAAGGTTTAATAATTTTCTCTAATTATAAAAGTCATAGGTAAGCAAAAAAGGGGGAAAGCCACCAATGTTTATACTACCCAGAAATAGTTACTGCTTCCATTTTGGCATGTCTTCTACTCTGTGTACTATGCACATCTTTTTAATTGTTTTAACTAAAAATCATACCATACTCTGCGTAGAATTAAATGGCTTGCTCTTTTTACTTCGTGTGTTGAGTGACTTTCCAGTTGTAATTGTTATGTTTTAATTGCACAGCTCATTCTCTCTAGCACTAGGATAGAAATAAAATGTATTATGTACCTTTCACAAAAGCACATTTCAATTGAAGAAGATCCTTCCTGTGCCGTATCTCCCAGCCTCCTCCTCTGCAAGGAGAACGGTAACATAAGTAAAACGCTTCCTGTAACGGCCTGTGCTCTGACGGGGCTGCTTTCTCGTAGAGGGACTGAGAGCGCGCGGTGTTCCTCAAGCTGGCCGTTCCAGCCTTACCTCGTGTTCGACGTCGGCGACGGCTCAGAACGACGGGAAAATGAGTATGTTCCCCCTTCACTCTCAAGGGAGGTCCCATAATTGTCGAAGTATTTTTGATCATATTTATGTTTAAAACACTGTCTGATGTTGTGCACGATCACTTTTATTTAGCCAGGTTGTGATAGCTTCTCCTTTTTAAAAATAAATTGCCAATGTCTTTCTCTGTATATTTCAGCCTTTTAATTTTAAGTGTATAACGGGGATAATATTACCTAACATGTGGTGGGCACTTGAATAGATCCATACCATGGCCGTAGCTCTGAGCACAGTTATTGTGGTCTAAAAGGAAGACGGGCATCCAGGTAATCACCAAGGTGTTCATTATGCCGGTGGCTGAAGTGTTGTGAAGGGTCAGTATAGGTGCAGCTGACGGAGGGAGGCAGCGGCTGGACAAGGCTGGACATGGCTGGGATTGTTCAGGAAGGAGGGCGGGTGCTGATGAGGAGACGCCGGGCGGAGCCTGGGGCTGCCTCTGTTAGCACCAGGGCAAGCACCACCTGTACAGGGTGAGGTGAGGGGACAGCAGAGTCACTGTGTCCTGGAGCCCCAGCGCAGCCGTGTCCTGGCTGAGGCTCGGGGAGGAGTCAGCAGAGGTGGAGAAGCAGGCGGCCGGGCTTGCGGTGCCAGAGGGATTGTGGAGGGAGCAGAGGGCTGAGAGCCGAGCCCTGGGAGCATTTGGGGGGTGGGAGGTGGCAAGAGGAGTGTAGTCCTGAGGCGACCCAGCAGAATAAAGATTTCAAGGATAGAAGCGACAGCTAGCTAGCGGGTTGTCTGTGTAGCAAGTGTTGAAGTTCGGGCAGTGGGTATTTAAGGCTTTTAAAGCGATACAGGCAAGGCAGTCTCAGGAACAGAGGTGCAGGTGCAGTGTCCCCCGGGGCCCCTGCACGTCGCCTCTGGGGTGGGACTGAAGGAGCGGAGTGTGCTGTTCAGGAGGTGAGTTGGAAGTGCAGGGTGAGGCCAGCGGGAGGACAGTGAGGACTGGGCCACTGCAGGACCCCATGTCGTTCATCTCCAGGGCCCACGCCACTCGAGTTCGTGTGGATGGCATCCCTCAGCCCTGCGGTGCCTGATTGGCACGGCCAGTGGTGGGCATTAGAGAGAGGCTGCAGCGGGAGCACCGTCCTCAGTGTCGGGAAGGCAGCCAGTCTGTAGAATTAGCTTTGTTACCGTCTTCATTATACTTTCATTCTTCCTGTTCCTGTTTTAACATGTTTGAGAAATGGCTTCCTAACCCTCCGCTGCCTTCAGACTCTGTCTCTCACAGCTTTGCCTCACCGGCAGCAGTTGTGCTTCCTCACATGGGCAGGTTGCGGGTCAGTGTCGGCCTCAGTCCCTGCTGTCTGGGTGGTGACACCGCTGCCTCCTGTGCTGGTGGAAGCCACGTGGCACTTCAGTTAGCGGTTGGGCTGCTACTAGGTTTTTGTTGTTTGTTTGTTTGTTTGGCTGCTATCAGTTTTGATGTGTTCTTTTTTCCATCTTAGCTCATATGTAAACATTCAAGAAATCAAAGTGGTGATGGAATTGATTAAACTTCTCAAAGACAGAGGAAAGGATGTTAATTTCCGAAACGTTGGCATCATCACCCATTACAAGGCTCAGAAGATGAAGATTCTGAAGGAGTTGGACAAAGAATTTGAAGGAAGAGGGTGAGGCTTCTGTATTTTTACAGATATTTCCAGTTTTTCTGTTTGTTTATAGAAAGAGGGGCTAGAAGGAAAGGAAAGGGGTGGGGAATGGCAGTCGGTCCAGCACAGGACACTGGGTCGGGGTGGGCCGCTGCAGCCCTCTGGATGGAGCCTCCTGCCACCAGAGGCTGGTCACCGGAGACCTGGCGGCAGGGCTGACCGCAGCTCTCGGCCTTTCCCTTTAGTTCCGGGACTGCCGGTCCGAATTCTAACTGACAAGGTGCAGGAGGTCACATTGTCATGTTTCTGTCTCCTTTCACCTCAGCAGTAAAATTAAAGATTAAATATTAGAAATCCATTAACTCCAAAGTGCCTTACCCTAGAAACACACAACCAACAACATTGACTCTAGAAAAAGTAAAGAGATGGAGTTAGTGATCGAATACTTTCCAACAAAGAACTCAGGGCAGGGTTTGTAAGTGGATAAATGAGTGCTGGTCCACCTACACAGTCAGATACGCAGCCGTAAAAGGAAGGAGGCACTGGCACACGCTACGGCGTAGATGAGGCCGCGCACCCTCATTCCACCGACAGGAGATGTCAGTGCTGAAGAGCCTAGACGTGGACAGCGCGGTCGTGGTTGCCAGGGCCAGTGGGGGAGGGGAAATCAAGACAGGAGTTCTCTCTTGGGCGACGGCAATGTTGTGAAATCAGTGATGACGGCTACGCACCGTAGTGAATGGACTTAAAGCCATTGAACAGTGCTTTACAATGGTGAGTTCTGCGTTATGAGTCACATTTCCGTAAGCACAGATTCCCATGAAAAACGTTTCTGAAAATAGTGCTCTATGAATAGGTCTGTTTAATAATCCTCTTTTCTCAGTAAACACTTCCCTTTTGCAAACAGGCTAGCAGAAGTAGATACTGTGGATGCATTTCAGGGTCGTCAGAAAGATTGTATTATTGTTACATGTGTCAGAGCGAACGCCATACAAGGCTCAATCGGGTGAGTAACTTGAGTACTTCAGTTGTGAAGTTGATCCCCTGTTGCCTTTGCTTCTCTCGATACCTTGTATATTGATTAACCCACGACGGTGTGAGTCTGTTCTTTCATTTAATCAGAGTGAACTCAGTCACTGGGTCACGTGTGTCCTGCGGGGCTTGCTGTTCTCCCTGGGACGTGTCGTAACCTGCTTTTCCTCGTCGCTCTGTGTTTCCTGCTTTGGCCGAGCTTGTTAACTGCGGCAGCGGCTTAGCAGAGATGCTCGGGCGCTGTGGGGGGCGTCAGGAAACTCCCTGGGTCTCGGGCTCTGGGATTTTTCTCTTCTAAGTAGCAGATGAAGTCTGCAGATTATAAATGTTTACTTGTTCTTAAAATGCCTTAATTTCTCTCTGCCCCTGCCCAGCGGTAGTCTGCATGTACACATGGAGGAGGTCAGTTACTTCCGGACCATTTTGTAAACAGTCTCTTCTCCAGCTAATCTGAAATCTCCGCTTTATCGTGTATCAAGCAGTTCTATTATTCCCCAGGTCTCTGTGACCTGTTGTTAAATTTGTCTGATGTTTGTGTGCGTCTGCCCTGGTTCCACCGTATTTTCGTAATCTCAAATTCACTTACATTTAAGAATAATTGATCGAGTATCATCTTTGTAGGATGTGTTTAAGGCTTAAAAATCATACTGTTAAAATTTGCAGCCTCTCATTTGAGTCAGAACAGGAAAATTGGCAGATGCATCCCTTGGAGGGAAAGCACTGGGTGTTCTGTTCACTCTTTTTAAGGGGAATTGCTTCTGTGCCAGGAGCCCTGTGTTGGGAGGAAGAGTGAGAAAGGACTGTGACTTTAAAAGTCAGAGCCCACGAAAAACTGTCTCAAATCGTCCTGTTTCACTCCCTGCTGTGCTGAGTCCGCTGCAGGAAGAAGTAACTGTTCTCTGATCGCCTAGGTTCCTGGCGAGTTTGCAGAGGTTGAACGTCGCCATTACACGGGCCAAGTACAGCCTCTTCATCCTTGGGCACCTGAGGACCCTGATGGTAGGTACATTCTTGGCGACAGAACTCCGAGTCTGTCTGGCGTGGCTGGCAGTGGGTCGGTCGATGGTTCGTTCTGATTCTCCATCAACATGGAAGAGGTTTCGGGGACACATGGCGGCTGAAAGAATGAGCCTCTTCCCAGAGTTGTGTCCCCAGCAGCTTCTCCCCGGAGGCCACTCACCTGCCTCAGCCGAGGCCCAGGGGTCCAGTGTCCTCTCCAGGTGACCTTTGAAAAGTCTCTGCACCGTCGGCGGGCAGGTGCCATGTGACTCTCAGTCGTGAAGGGCTAGCGTTGGTCAGCGTGGCTGCCGTCGGCCCAGCGGCACACCACAGCGAGGGCGTCGGGGAGAGCCGAGCTCCCTGCGTGCAGACTCTAGAAGTAGCGGCCAGCAGGCTCGTTTGGTAGACAGATGTGCAGCCTCCCCTGGTGACAGCACCATCAGCTAAAGCTTGTATTTGCTACTAGTCTCAATGGGGGTGACTTTCGGTTTTCCTAATTTTCTCTAACCAAGTTCTTAGGCGAGATTTCCCCATTTTGGTTAGTACCACCAGAGGGCGCTCAAATGTAGTCTTTCTCATTGAACTCTACCGGTCTTCAACGACTCTGTTGTACCCCCTTAAAAGAATTTTTAAAGCTTGTCCCTCCTATTCTTAAGCATAAGTGTTGCTAAAGGCACAACATTCAATCTTGAATGAAGGTGGTTTTGCCCTTTGGGGTTTGGGAGGCCCCCGAGAACTTGGTGGAAGCTCTGGTGCTTGTCTGGAGCAGTGACGGGCACTCAGAAGTTGGGCCTTTCTGAAGCCAGGCCTTCCAGTTCCAGGTGTCATTACCCTGCGCGAGGCTGGCAGGGCCAGACCAGTAGCCAGGGCACTTCCTGGGATGAAAGCGGAAGTGCTCTGTCTGCAGTGCCCAGCATGCTGATCGCTGGTCGCGGTGCCTGCCTGAGCATGTGCGATGTGGCTGGTACTCCTGAAGTCTTCTTGTATTTGATTTTAATTAGTCGACATGTAAATCGCTCCCTGGGGCTGCCGTCCAGGCTGCAGCACGGCTGCGGGGGGATGGGGTCTGGCCGACGGCGGTGGCCTCTCTCTAACGGGGCCGGGGCTGTGTGCTGGCTTCTTTTCCTCTCAGCCTCGTCTAGCGAGTAGCAGAGGCTGGAGAATCTGTTCATGAAAGTCTGCTTCTTTGTTCATAAATGAAGCTGGGCCTGCTGCTTCCCAAGCCTGTGCGTGTTTGTTGGGTGTAACTGTTTCTCCTTCTCTGGGTTTCAAGGACAATCAGCATTGGAACCACCTGATTCAGGACGCGCAGAGGCGTGGCGCCATCATCAAGACCTGCGACAAGAACTATAAGCAGGACGCCATGAAGATCCTGAAGCTCAAGTCGGTGCTGCAGCGGAGTCTGACCTACCCCCCTTCTGCGGCCGCTGAGGGCTCCGGCCCCCAGGGCGGCTCGCCGGGCAGCGACCAGAGCAGGACGTTGCTGAGTGACTCCCTGTACCACGCATCCTTGGACGCTAGGGAGGCTGCGGATAGTGTTGCTGGAAAGGATCTTGAACGGCCTCCTGTTAAGGACCAGCTTCGGGACCCACGACTGCTCAGGAGAATGGGCATAAGCGCTGAAGCCCCAGGGAGCTTCCCAAGGGACCCAGAGCCCCGGGGCCCCCAACATTCTGAAGCAGCGCCCCCCTTAGGAGTCCCCGGCTTCCCTGTGAGTCCCCAGACTCTGGACCGCGCCTTGAAGCTGTGCCTGGCCACATGGAACAGCCACAGACCTCACGTGCCGTGTGAACCTCCTGGCGCCAGCACTGACTCCACAAATGAAAGTGACCAGCAAGGGGGTCACAGCCACCAGAGAGAGGCCAGGGCTGTCAGTGACAGGGACCAGGAGATGCCCCGCCCTGGGAACCATCACCCCAAGAGGAGCTCCAGCTGGGACGATGGGAGAGCCGCGGAGGAGGACAGCGGCTCAAAGAAGAGGAAGCTCTAGCCACCGGGCGCGCGCGGCCAGCTGCAGGCACACTGCAGGCAGCACGAGGGCTTCAGCTACGATTGTTTCTCCTCAGGAGTGTGTGCTGTTGGGGAGCATGGGCACTGTAACTGAGCCCTGAGCCTCTTGCTCATCGTCAGCTGCCAAAGCTCCAGGGGGTGCAGGGTCAGTGATAATGCCCCGAAGTGCAGCCTGCAGCGCTGACCTCTTGTTCTACAAAAAGTTAGGTCAGACTGGAGCGAGTATTGTAAACGTTGAAATGTATATTTGTATAGCAAACAGCAAAACCCTTTTAAAAGTTAATCTAGTAGACCACTCTTCTTCCCTTGCTTACAATGTGAGTCCTTTTTGCCAGAACAGACTTTGTATTACAAAGAGAAGAGCAGGAGAGGCGGGTTGAGCCACTATGGCAGCGGGTGTGCAATAGGCGGGCCTGGGCAGCCGGGCGCTGCTGGCCAGTGTGTCCGGTTCTGTTTACAAAGTGAAGGCAGGTTCTGATGGACGTTTCTAGACGAGGCATCTTGGCACGGACAGGACATTTCTGGGAGGAATTCAGCCACCTTTTAGTAGGCGCACAGCTCTCTAGCAAAAATTCTTCTCCTTCCTGAAAAAGAAGACTCGGCCATGAAATAAGCCTTGAATGAGCATTCAGACACCCCAGCATTTTGTGAGCTTCCTGTCACGGTGGGCTCCCACTTCAGGGTGGCCCAGGGCAGGCTAGTGCTGGACCCCTCATCCGCTTGTGAGAGGTTGCCAGGGGGCCCAGCTGAGTGACCAGTTTAGATAGAGCCTGGAAAGCCCCATGTTATACATCCGGGGGGAGGGAGTGGATGATCTGGTCCCGGCAGCTTGGGAACCACGAGGGTAGGCCGGGTATAATGCAGGGTGTCCCAAAGAAATGTACACACGTAACAGCTGCTAGATGGATGTTTCCTTCTTTTCAGATGTAGCCCATTGGGATGTTTATTCAAAGTGTGTATTCATTTTTTTGGGACACCCGACTTTTAGGCAGGAATGAAACACCCTTTCAAAGAGGCTAGAAGAGGGAGAGAGAACGTGGGGTTGAGAACCGGGAGAGCGGGATGTTTCCTGCGGAAAGGCCCGGTGTGCGAGCGCCCACGGGAGAGCGTGCAGGGAGGGGAGTCTGAGCGACGGAGAAGCGGGGTGCCGCACCTCAGTCCACCTTCCCAAACACAGCAGAACGGATTAGTGGCAGCTGCCGTTTGCTTTCCTACCCCATTAGCCAGTGGCTGCAGGGGGACTGCCCTGCAGCCACTGGCTAATGGGGTAGGAAAGCAAACCCTGAGGTGAGCGCCACTAGAAGTTTTCTGGGCCTCTGCTTTAAGCAAGAAGGGCTTTGTGTTAGTCAGAAGCTCTACTGCCCGTAGACTCCTAAGAGATCTCTAGAAAGCAGTGTGTGTTTGCACGAGTTTAAAGTCTACCTCATTGCTTGTCCTCCTGGCGTGGTGCCGCACCCCCGCCCGGAGAGCAGGTGTTCCTGGAGTTGGGACAGCTGTCCTGGCTGGGCCGCAGGAGAAGGCGCAGGGCGGGGCAGGGCCGTGGGTAGACATCTCAGTGTTACTTTAAGTTTACTCTCCTGGTAAAATGCTCCGCTTAGCACATACTTGGAGCGTGACAACAGTTCAGAGTCTAACAGCTCTGCGAGCTAGTGAAGGAGGCAGACAAGGCTGTGGGTGAGGATTGCCACGCTCTGCTACAGCGGGCGGCTGCAGAAGCAGGCGTCCCCGGGTGCGTGCTTTGCTGCCATGCCCAACAGTGTTATTTCCAGTTAAGTTCGAGGCCTGTTCTCACGCGTGTTGGCTCCCCCGGTCTGACGGTGCAGGATGTAGTCGGAGACTCGCGTAACCCTTTCCAAGGGCAAGCCTGCGCCCTGCCAGCTCTCCCGGCAGAACGCAGTGTTCCTGCCCTTGCCTTTGGAACCGTTGGTTGTTGAGTGAAAGCATTTGCTGGTGCGTCCCAAGTGTCCCGGCGTGGCTGCGGCAGCTGAGCGCAGCTGGGGGAAAGGCTGCCTGCTCCGGGCCAGCCGGGGTGCTACGCGGAAGGAGGCGCCTGTCTGCTCTTGTACCAGTCGTTCTATCATGAATACATTCTTCTGACTTTGCTTTTCCATGTGTGACCTGCCTGGGGTTTACTGTGCACAGTTTATTTAGTTACATGTCTTCATGTATCAGGAGAATTTTGATAAACACATGTGAATAATCTGTAAATGAGTTTTATAACCAGAATGTACCGAAACTATTTTCTAAAGTGAGTTGTGCACATTATATTTTTTGCTGGAGCTTTGTCTTTTTCTATGCTCTGAATTCCCAGCTGGGATTTGGCAAACTTGAGGCCTGTCATCCTTGTTAAAACCTAAGTTTGAAGAGAAAATAGCAGAATTAAAAAGTGGAAACGCAACTGGCGTGGGTTAGGAGTTCTCTGTTACTAAACTAAGGTGCAGCGTCCTTCCTGGCTGACCCGCCGGGGCCCGTTCGCATCGTTGGATGCCGAAGTAAGTTACGTGGTGGGACTTGTTTAATCAAGCGTATCATCCAGCCCCATCCACTCCGGCTTCCCAGCTCTCTTTGGGATCCTGTTTGTAAGGCGGTGAGGCGCGCGACACGTCACCTGGTGCCGCTTGGCCCAGCAAAAAAAAAATGCTGGCTCGTTAGGCTGAGACGGGATGCCAGGGACAAGTGCACAGGCTCTCGGAGAGGAGCCCCCTGGGCACCGCCGCTGCCAGGTCGGGGCACTTGCTGCTGGGCACAGAAGTGGACCCAGGTTTATGGAAGTGGAAACTTCAGGGAGTGGAGTCAGACTTTGCCTGTCACTGCCCCCGGGTGAGCGAGCAGAGAGCCGCGTGCACAGCTTCCCAGGAGGGCGAAGTCACGTGTTTGAGTTACGGGCACAGTAAACTCGTCAGGGAGAGGTGCGTGCCTTGCAAGGACCGTGGTGGTTGAGGACTTCGTCACAACTGAAGCGATGATTTTTTAAAAAATATATATGTATTGATTTCAGAAAGGAAGGGAGAAGGAGAGAGAGATAGAAACATCAATGATGAGAGAATCATTGATCGGCTGCCTCCTGCACGCCCCCTACTGGGGATCAAGCCCACAACCCTGGCATGTGCCCTTGGCCGGAATCGAACCTGGGACCCTTCAGTCCACAGGCCGAGGCTCAATCCACTGAACCAAACCGGCCAGGGCAATGATGATTTTAAAGTCCCTCCTGCCCAACTCAGGCGCGGTCCCTACTCCCTCCTAGGTATGTCCTCTCATTCGTTGTTTGTGGAATAAACAATTCAGGGAGGAAATGAAAACTTAGCCCAGCTTAAATAGAACGTACAGTGTGTGTGGCGCCATAAAGGCAGTTTCTGTGCACAGATTTCTAAAGGACCCGAGTTACTGTCCCTCCTGCGCAGGACATCGGCCAAGACAAAGGGCGTAAACGGTGCCGTGGTGGCCGGGTGGTGGGAGCACAGGGCCTGGGGCTGCTGTCCCTGCAGCCCGGCTCGGTGCTGTGCACACGGCTGCCCGTTGCCAAGCAGCGCGGCTACGAACAGAATCATTAGACCGAGTGTTCGGCCCACGCTGCACTTCAGGCATCACCGGGGAGCTTTTGAGAGCCCCGCTCCTGGCTCTAGCCTAGAGTTTCTGACTTAGTGAGTCTGGAGCCCCGTGAATTAAGATTAGCAAGTCGGGCTCAACGGGTGACCTGGGGCCTGTGTGTCCATCCAGGTGATCCTCAGGCCCCTGGCCGGCGCGCACTCCGCAGCTCTTGCCGCTTTTGTGAAATGAAGCCTGTATCACAGTGCGTGCCAGGCCCATGGAAGGTGAAAGGCCGACCATGAAGACACCAACGAATTCACCACCCAGCGTGAGAACTGGACGTTACTAATAGGAGCGGCCACTCCACGGCCCCCCACCTGGTTGTGACCATCATTCTGAATGGTGTAGAGCGTGGGCTCCTGCACCCCCGGGGGGAGAGGAAGTGGACAGCACCTGGCACTGTTGACAGCAGAGGCCAGGAGTGTTGTGGGCACCACTGTGTCCGCTTGTTAAGTCCTCGCCATCGCCCGGTGACAGGTAGTATTTTTATGCCCCCATTTCAAAGATGAGGAGACCGAGGCACAGAGAGACTGAATTACTTGCCCACGGTCACCCAGGAGGTCCGACTCCAGAGTAGGTGCCCTTCACAAGCACCCCTTCCACTTTGGGGACCACCTACCCTTTCAGAGAAAAATGTGGGCACTGGGTCAGCCATGAACTGTGGCACCAGGAACACAACAATGGAGACTCGGGGCCTGGCCAGATCCTGCCACACCGGAGAGCGCATGGCCCGCTGGGAGAAATCTGGCCGGGAGCCAGAGTCCTGTGGCCAGCAGGGCCAGGGCTCTGGGCGAGGATGGAGTGCAGCTGCTTTTTTTATTGTAAAAGATCTCCGTTGATGTTCAGGATAACTTGCTAAATGTTATAAAGTAGGCTGAGGAAGGGTGTATATAAGACAAGCTTATTAAAAAAAATAAAATGGAGGGGGAAGGGGAATCTGTGTAACCCGGTGTTACAAGCTTGGGCTTCTGTGCCGATACTGGATTTGCATCTGGACTCTGCCTCTGTTGGGCTGTGTGACCTTGGGCAACTTGCCTCCCCTCTCTGTGCTGGATTGTGATTGCCTCTTCATGCCCTTCCTCTGGTCAGGGAGACAGTCCACCTCCCTTGATGAAGGGGGGAATGCTGGCCATGGAGGGGTGGGCACAGGGTGCAGGCAGGGGTGCCAGCTGGAGGCAGGCCTGGGGACGAGGGTGGTGATAAGGCCGCATCTGGGCCACAGAGACAGCAGCGGGGGCTCTCCGGCCACCGGGCAGGGTGCTGGGTGTTGCTGTGGCTTCCCAGGGCCTTCCCGTGCCTCCGGCTGCCCTGATGTGTGTGGACACCCTGAGATCCTGCAGTGATGGCCTTTCTGCCTGAGTCACCTGGAGTGGCCTTGGGTGCGGTGCCTCAGCTCTGACCGGGACACGAGAGCCCCAGGACAGCGGCCATGTGAACGGAGCCTGCTCTCACTCAGGCCAGCATCCCCGGG